TGGACTAAAAGGGGAAGAAAGAGGAAGAAATGAAAGAAGTCAGCCAGACCTTAAAAATTCTATGTGTAGCAAACAGGCTGATAAATTATTCAGTTGCAAAGTTATTCTATGTGCTATGAAAAAAGAAAGATGACCTAGATGTCACAATGGTTGACACAGAGGTTCAGTCTGATAGTGGAGTTTAACTTGAACCCAGGTTTGAGGGACTGTAGAGGTTGGAGGTCTACAGGCACAGCTGCAAAATAGAGGACTGTTCCAAGGACCTGAAACCTGGTTTTTCCCAGTTGATCCCAGTATGACTTGGGACCACTGAGTATTTTTCCTTTTTCCATCCCTTCCCAACCTTTGAATAGAAATGACTAAAACTGTTATTATCTATCTGTCTCATCATTGTATTTTGGGATAGCTTAACTGGTTTTCTAGTTTCACGGGTCTGCAGATGGAGAGGAATTTGGCCACAGATGGATCATACCAAGATTATCACCCACATGTAATGTAGAGAATGAAACTTAGGAATTTTGGGTTGATGATATTCAGATGAGGCTTTTTGCATTGCATTGATGCTATAATGGGTTGAGACTTTTGGAAAAGTTGGGATTTGGGGGAATATATTTTGCATGTGGAATGAGTGAAATTTTTCTTGGCCAGATGAAAGAATAGAGTGCAGTGGGCTGAATAATGACCCTTAAAGTTGTTCATGTCTAAATCTCCAGAATAGTTTCCCTTATATGGCAAAAGGGACTTTGCAAGTAGATTGAATGAAATATCTTGAAATGATATTGTTTTTTATTATCCAGATGGACTGGCACAATCATAGGAGTGCCTATGACAGAGAAGATGTACGAATAGAAGAAGTCAGAGAAAATGCTAGGCTGTTAATTTTAAAGATGGTGAAGACCATGAGCTTCAGAATGTAAAGTGGCCTCTTGTTACTATAAAAGTCATGGAAACATTTTCCCCTGGGATGAAGCTCCCATTTTAGACTTATAACCTCCATAACAATAAGATGATAAATTTGTGTGAAGTTATGTTTGTGGTAATTTGGTACAATCTCTGTAGGAAATTAATTTATCCAGGGTTTTTAAATTTTATCTGCTAATGCTAGTTCTAGCAAAAACTGGTTTTATTAAATGCCTATTATGGCCAGAAGCCTTTATGTATTAGCACACTTAATTACAACAATCTTGGGACCATTCTAAGGATAAGGAAAGAAAAGTAAACTCCAAAAGGTAACAGAATTTAATTTGAACCCAGGCCTGACAGACTGGAAAGTTCCTCCAGTCCTCTCTTTGTCACAATAACCCCATCCCATTTCTCTCTCTTTCTCTCTCTCTCTCTCTCTTTTTTCTTTTGGTACCAAGGATTGAACTCAGGACCTTGTGCTTGTGAGGCAGGAAGCAGTACCACTGAGCTAAATCCCCAGCCCATTCCACTTCTCATGATTTACTGAAACAGTATTTGTCTATGGAGAATTCATTTCTGGGAAAAACAGAATTCAGATCCAATAAATTAGGTACCTCCTTTGCCTATGTATAGAGGCATCTGTGATTATGTACTATCTTTTCCCATCCAAAGAATGTTCTGATATAAACTAATGAACTACTGAATAAATATATTTTCTATCACAATCAAAATGAATAGAATATACTTCACAGATCAAATATGCATTCTTCAATGCCAAAATGGTCTGGCCCATCATCCAAGTGTTATAAATTTCAACAAATGAGTCAAAACAACTTATCTAAGACAACTGAAAAGATAATAAGGCCTTAAACTCCATGTTCATGTCGGTAGAGATGGAAACTCACTATCTTTGTGAGCATCTTGCTTGTGGATTTTTATTTAAACCAATGGATGGCCTAGTAGTTTAGGGGGAAAACAGCCCGGATGATGCAGATCCAGATTTCTTCTAAATGAAGAGCTGGTGCTTAGTGGTGGATGTCTGCTATACACATTGCTTCTCTTCATTTTCAAACTGAAATAATTCTACTACCCGTTCTGTATGCCTAAAATCCCATCACACTGTGTTGGAAGAAAATTCCACAGAGAGCTTCCTGAAAACTGGAGATTTATCTGATCATTTATCAGTCAGTTGACTTGCAAAGAACATCTGTCAGCACAGCTGGAGGGGTGTCTTGTGTAAGCAGTAGGGGTGAGGAAGAGCTTACTGGACATCGAAGGGAGGGGGCACGGTAACTGGAAAATTCCATGCTATATTTTCATCAGATCAAATTTGCTAGGAACTCATTGTCATTTTTCAAAGGCCAGCTTTCCCTTTCTTCCTGGTTCCTTACACTATGTCAGGTAATTATGAAAAACTCTGAGCACAGTGCTTGGGAATCAAGTGCTTAATGCTGTATGTTACTTACTACAGAAAGGCTGTTCCCTCAATGCATGATCACTGAATGTCCCAGACTCCAATCATGATGGTGAACTGAGGGAAATCATGAGATTAGGGAGTTAATGGTCAACTAGAGTTTATGCTGTTCAAATGTTTTAGACAACACATTTTTGTTTGGAATGCAAAAAGAACTGTCTCTTGTGGTGGCCCAGTGAAGGAAGACTTTGTAATTATCAGGTGTAGTTGTCCTATTTTGAACAGTTGACCTGTAGATCACAGATCAAGACAGCGCCTATTTGAAGATGATCAGGCCTTTTTTGCTTCCTTCTGACTGGGAACTCCTGGAGAGGCTGGCATGAGTTAACTTTTTCATTTAAATCAAGTGATTAGAAGAATCACAGCAGACCTGGAGATGTGGGGATAATTATGAAGTTAATGTTTTCTTTTTTATTGAAAAATGTCTGGATAAATGGTAGTGGTGGGATTTCCTTTCAACTTGCATTTTCCATGGATTGGGGTCCTTTATGTGTGACTGCATTCCCTGCAGAAGACAAAGTGGCTAGGTTTTCTTTTTTTTCTCTTTAAGGAAAATATTTTTGAATTTGATGTCCTAAAATCCAGGAATATTTTAGGTATTTATTAAGGATATGTACAAAGACAAAACTTGTCAGACATAATTGAGATCCATGGTTTTAATCTTTGAGGTGCATGAGAATTATGGTGGTGAGTGATGGAAATGATTGTATGTGTGTGGGATGTTTGTTTTAAATGCAGATTCCTGAGTTTCACTGTCAAAAATCTAATTATATAGGTTTGGGATGGAAAGTTAGGAATTTGCACTTAGGGAGATGACCCTAGTTTCCCAGAGGAGGAGGATTTGTGAAGAAGGCTTGGTTTGCATATGTGGTTTCATACTAGGAACGAAAATACTGTAGAAAATCCCAGTTCCAGTGGAGATGGTGTGGATTAAATGTTATGTTGAAGAAGAATCTCTTCACCCCAGTTGTGAAGTATAGTGCTTAAGAGACAGTAGAGCCCAGTGGTCCTTCCAGGCTCTGGGTTCTATTTCTTTCTTTCTTTTTCGTACCAGGGATCAAACTCGGGACCTTGCACTTGTGAGGCAGGCAGCGGATCCACGGAGCTAAATCCCCAGCTCATCTGGGTTCTATTTCTGAGCCCACTGTTTACAATCTGTGTGACTTGAGCTCAGTGCCTTGGTTTCCTCATCTGTAAAGTGAGGATAACCATTGCATCTACTTCAGAGTGTACCCGTGCATTAATAGCATTATCCATCAATTGTAAACTCTTTCTAAGTTCTTCACATACATTATCTCATTTAGCACAAAACCCTGTCAGGTATGTACTGTTGCTATTCTGATTGGATATATGAGGTTCACCATTTGCTCAAGTCATATGATTAGAGAATGGCAAGCTTGGCACTCCATTGCCCATCTTCATCATCTCTCTTGCTATCCTGCAATAAAACATTGGCTTCTTTTCCTCCTCCTGCCTTTCTCTTCTTATCTTGCAGCTCCAGATGAGCCAGGCTTAGTTTCCATTTAGTAAAATGTCATTTGGTTAACAGAACAAAATGTGCGTTGGATGCGTAGCTAGGCCCAGGACATAATGTAGCAGAGAGAAAATAGTGGAGTGGCTCCCAATGGGTGGCTTTGGCCCAGGTCCTTACAAGTCTAAGTCTACCCAAGTGTCAGTTGTCAGAGAGATGGGACAGGGAGGCAAGAGCTCAGTTTATCTATTGCCATCAGTGGGCTCAGCTTTTCTAGAGGGAGCAGGTTGAACATCCACCTCATGCCTGCCCTATTCTGCAGAGAGGAAGGCAAAGCTCTTGCTAGCCACAGCACAGTCTTTCTCGGGGTCCTCTCTGGAAGCCTTGGCGGTAGGTGGGTGAGGCTGAGGGGCACTGAGTGTGTTAGGGCTGCCACAACCAAGCACTGTAGATAAAGTGGCTTAAACTAGAAATTTATTTTTTCACAGTTATGGAAACTTGATGTCCAAGATCGAGGTGTTGGCAGAGTTGATTTCTTCTGAGACCTCTTAGCTTTTAAATGGCTGTCTGCTTCTTGTGTCTCCACATGGCCTTCTGTGTGTCATATTGGATGGGGTCTCATCCATATGACCCTTAGGTGCCTTTTTAAAGGTTCTGTCTCCAAATACATTCTGAGGTACTGGGGGTTAAGACTTCAATATATAAACTTAGGGAGCTTGTAACAGACACAACATAATAACTGTAGTAGCTGCTAATTATTGAATGTGCCATGTCTGTACTGAACACTTTCCAAATATTGTCATATTTAATCCTCAAGGTAACCCTCCCCATACTTTTAGAATTAGCTCCCTGCTGGGTCCACTGGCATGGAAGCATTGCATCCTCTGCCCATCTATACTTGGGAAGGGACTGACTTTTGCAGGGTTGGTGATAACTGTAAACCTACCTTCAGCTGCTCGCCAGGTCTCTGATGAGGTGGTGACTTCTGAACTACTGGCTCCATCTCTCTCTTTTTTTCTTTTCTTTAAAGTTTTTTACTATTGGTATATGTTTGCGATACATAATGACTACATTTATTCTGGGAGGAATTTGTGAATATAAGTATTATATCTTGATCATATTTAACGCTGGATCCTTCTCTTGTCTTTCCAGGTTCCATAGTTGCATTTGTTCCATGCTGAGCAGGAAGAGTTTCCTCTTAAAGGTTTACTTGAAGGAACAGAACTCAACTTTCTGAGCTGAGCTTTGTGTGTGTGTTTCTGCTTGCCTGCTTTTCTGTCACCAGATCGCTCTGGGAGCGGTGACGCTCTTAATTAAGCTGAGATCTGAGGTGCTTAAAATGCAGAATTCACAGGCAAGCTGGCTGATGCCTGAGGCTGAGAAAAGATGCTCTCAACTTTTAAAAACCTAGATCTGTCACAGTGAAAAATTCCCTTCATTTCAATGGGGGTGGCTCACAGGACCAAAAATGAGAACCACTTGAGCTTAGATGGAGTCAGGCTCCTCCACCTCTCTCCCTCGCCAGCATCGGGAGTGAGAGCTGCCTTCTGCAGAGAGAAGACATACAGGGGCTCTCTGTGAACCACCTCTGAAGATGTGAGGGGAGCCCCAGTTTCATGAAAGAATGAGTGAGTGAGCTTATGAAGGAATCCCCAAGCAAGACAATGCTGGTTGTTATAAAGGACAAGAGACCAGAAGCCCAGATTTGGGTCAGAGACTACAAGCACATGATGGGAGTTTGAAGCCTGTCCAGGACCTTTAATACTCACCTCCAGTTCCTGAATGTGCTATTCTTGCAACTGCCCTTGGACCATTCATTCAGGACACTTGGCAAAGGACTGAGGACTCTCAGATGTGGTCCCTTTGTGGAATTCTGCCCACCTCAACCCCCAGACAAACCCACTTCACAGCTGGGCAGGCATCTGTGAGTGTCCACAGTACCTCTGCTCCTTCTTTCTCTTCCCTAGCTGCGGGGAAATGCTACCCTGCTGTTTTCTCATTCATCCATGGTCAGACTCCTCGCAGCTATTTAAATAACCTTATCTACACTCATAGAGCACTGACTAGGACTCCAGGCCCCTCTTTGGTCTCCCTGAAACAAAGACCACTTGGTTGTGAATCCAAAGCACAATCTCCATCTGAGTTAGGTCTGAAGGACAGAAAAGCAATAATTCCTCAGCTCTCTATTTTGCTCTTGCTCATACCTCACTGAAATGGACTTGGCATCTCTCTGATTACAGCTAAGGTATTTTAGTGTCTACTGAGATAAGGGTATCCCTGCTGAGTGGGTGAATTATTTTAAAAATACTCCCTTCAAACAAACCAGTTAAGAAACAGAAGCTGTTCCAGTGAGCTGACCAGGCAATGCTTGATGTGGAAATAGAAGTTAAACTCCTGCTCCTGCTCATTTGGACCAGGTGGCCCTGGGCAGGGACCAAACTGCACAGCACTTCAGGGCATCCCTGGCTCTTGCCCTGAGCATAGAAAGAGAGGCTGTAAGCTCATTTTTTCTTCTCCTGTCTGCCCAATCTGTGTCTTGGATTCCTAAACAGTATGTCTTCAGGTACCTTCATTTTCTGCCCAACCAAAAGCCTCTTATGGACTTCAGCCCAAACGCACATGAGGTCATCAAGAAAATCTAGCCTGTTAGTTGGATCATTAGATGTATCGCGAATGCAGATCTTTTGCATTCACTGTCTCTAGAACCTGACCTGTGACCAGAGGCAAACCATTGATAACATCTCAGTGACAGTATCCCTGCTATTTTGAACCAAGGATTTCCCATAAATTTTCCACACCTGGCCAGGTCTGAGTAATTTTATACCTGGGTTCTGTCTTACCATGTGCTACTGCCCCAGCCTGATGCCAGAGCTTGCGCCTTCTTCCCTGGCCATTGTTCCCTAGTAATGAGAGGTGCTGGTCTGCAACCCCTGACCCCATTCATCCAAATAATTTTTATTTATTTACTTTTTGAGGCAGTGTCTCATTATGTTGTCCAGGCTGGACTTGAACTCATGATCCTCTTGGCTCAGTCTCCCAAGTAGCTGGAATACAGGTGTGGCTCAAATCATTTTTGAAAAATTAAGTACTGATTGGTAAAGAGAAGTACTTCTTTCTCACTAAAACTGATTCCTGGGTAGAAACTTCTCATTATTCCTAACCCGTGGATTCACTTGCGGGCTTGCCTGACCTGGCAACACAGACAGCCTAGAAAAAACTGTGAAAGTGATGACATGCACCTTTTAGGGAGCTTCAGCTTAGAGCAGTCTTTCTTCCCTCTAGGACTCTTCCCCTTTGGCACCCATCTGGATCTTGTCCTTATTGTACTTGTAGGTAAACTAATCTGTAATAGGGAAACATTAGATAAATTAAGCATAAACATATTATGACTTAAGGTTCACCTGCTCACAGGATGCTAGCAGTTTCAAATGAGACCTTGCCCCAGATGAGTGAGACTATAAGTATTAAAAGGGAAATGGTGCTCTTCTGAAACTTTCCAAAATCAAGGTGTCTTCAGGCTAAGCCTACTTTTCAATAAGCAAATAAGCAATGAGGTGGAAACTTCAGGATTCCCCAAAGACCCAGAGGCCAGTGGTTGCATCTATTGGCATCTGATTCTCTGTTTGGAGATGGAGCACAGTGGATATGTATTCTCACCCATCTTTTTGGTCTCTGTGTTATCTTTCTCCTCACAATTTGTTCAGAGTTTGACCCTTCAAATCCTTGGGGTCAGGGTCCATGCAGAAAGTTTGTGCATTCATGGCCACTTGTTCCTTCTAAAACAGATCCTGCTGGTGATGAGGCAGTGGGTGGATCCCACATTCGCAATTTCAGGTGAGGTGTCCTCTCTGTTCACATTAACAGCAGACTGGCCTGGTTTAAAACAGACATTTGTCACAAGAAATTTACAAGCACACTTTCTCTCCTTCTTTCTTTTGGCAATAATGTGAGATTTACCTTTTTGGAGTTAATACCTTACTCAGATCTTCAAGAGCATGCTTGGCTTGAGAACAACATTTGACAGAAACTAATTGCTATCTTTTATTTTTTCCCAAAGTAAGATAAATAATTCACTAAATATTTAAGTTGTTAAGATGTAGGGGAGGCTATATAAACAGACATTCAACTAAGTATCTCCTAAAATAAATAGAGCCCCTTTGATTTAGATGGGGGCCCCTTTCTTCCTTTAACAATAGATACACACTGTTGTTCTTTAAATGGGAAATCTGCAATATACTAAGTCATGAAGTACAAGGTCATAAAGGTCACAAAGATGGAGATGATCAAGTTTCTTCTCTCAATGAGATTTTCCTTTAGTCCAAATGGCTGTATAGTATAGCTGTCTGGGCTTTGGTTTTCTCAGCTATAACATGGGGATAATAGTTAAATTACAGATAGAGAGTTGCTATGAGAATTAAGTGAGCTGCCATTACAAAGTACTTGGGACACAGCCTGGTACAAATAAATGCTTTTGAAGTGTTTTAATTAATTAAAATATGTATCATAAGAAAGACCTAGATTAGGAATAAACAGATCCACATGGGAATGGAGAAAGTAATCCAGACGCCTTGCAGAAGACCTGGGTGACCAGATAATGAAGGTTTGGAATAGCTTTAGCCAGGAGATGAGACCTCAGGTGGGTCTTGAACGATGTGCAAGGGTTCAGTTTGTAGAGAAATAGCTAAGGGCATTTCCTGAAAGAGAACACCATGAGTTGTTAGTCACACCCAACCATCCAGAACATTCTGTGTAGAAGGCTTCCCTGACTGGGCCGGGGAGATCAGGGTTCCTCTTCAGCATTTGCTGCATACTCCCTCCTCACCATTATCACACCATTTTATAACTGTTTTCCACTAACTTTCATTCACAGCATCTACTGAGCACTGACTCTGTGTCGGGCACTGGGCTGGCTCAATTGAACCCAGAAACTCCTAAGAAAATGAGGTGGTTTCTCTGGCACTAGGGTTTCCAGAGTACACAGCTGACTCAACAAAGGAGTTTCAAAATTATCATCAGGAGAGTTGCCATGCACATTAGTGAGGTATTATTTTTACTCCAGGGATTTTCATACCTAAGGAGTTGTATCTTAGCTGCAAGAAACTCGGGAATATAGTTTACTGTCTACAGAATAACTGAGCAAAAACTTTTTTCTTGTGTTCAACATTTCTATGATCTTTGTTTATTCAAACCTGTGCAGAGTTGTTTTTTTCTTAAATCAGAAGCTCAGACTACCTCAAAGGAAAAAGACTAATTGAATATTATTGATATCAGTTTAGGAGGATTTAATTTTTTTAAGGCTCCGTGATTTGTTTAGCTGAACAATTACATGTTGTAGCTGCTTTGGAGCATGCTTGTCCCATTCTTCTTTCCCAGTACTAAGGATTGAACCAAGGGCCTTGCACATGCCAGACAAGTGCCATACCACTGAACTCTAGCCTCAGCCCTTATTTTTTGTTTTGAGATCAGCTCTTGCTAAGTTGCCCAGGCTGGCTTCGAACTTGAGATCCTCCTACCTCCGTCTCCCAAGTAGGTGGGAGTACAAGTGTGCACTACTGTTCCTGGCTTGCTTGTGGCTGTGTGTGCTTTTATTCACTAATGTGTGTTCCCATAAAGGGGTTACAGGTGGTGTTTTGAAGGTGAGAGATTCTACAAAGAAGTCTGGGCAGGAAGATGACGGGGCGGACAGACATCAGCAGGATCACAAAGCCTCTTCCCAATTTTGAATTCAAGGGATCCTGTGTTAGGAGTTAAAAACAGCCTACCAACTGTTCCTTAAAACAATTGAAAATTTCTCATTTTGGCCGGTTGAGGTGAAGGTGAGTTTTATTCCTGACTACCTCTATAATAGCAGAAAACTCATATCTTTTAAATAGGAGCATAAGGAACACAGGAGTCTTGAGGCTCGGAAATTCACTTTCTCATCTTCAGTTGGGACCTACACACAAATTCTGTCTTTTACATCTTGTAAGAAAATTCTTTTTTAAAAGCTGATGAAAAACACACCCTTAAATGACCTTAGAGTCAGCATTTTATATCCTGGATTCTATTACATCATTAATATTGATACAATGATACAAAATACAAAATAAACTAACATACAAAATGTGTTAATAAAATTGTTTCTTACATAAGAGATTCCTGTCTTGTATAAGATGGATTTTCTAAAGATGATCTATGTCTTTTCCCTTTTGTCTTTCTTTTCCTTCCCTCTTTTCATTCTTCCTTCCTCCTTCTTCCCTATCTTCTCTTTCCTACTCTCCTTCCCTCTTATTAGAGCTCTTTTGTTGAAGAGTCTCAAATTATTAGAGCAGAAACATGAAATACTTTTTCTGTTCATTAATACCAACTCTACCTATCTGACCCTGAAGAACATCAGAATCTTTATTTTACATGTTTTAGTCATGAGTGTCAAAAATTTTTATTTCTATTATTTTCAGGCTTAATTTTATTCATATAAAATTTAAAATTTATATTTAATTGAAAATCTTCCCTTCCGCATTCCAGGTTAGATTTTCACTGTTACCCTCGTTCATACTCCCTCCTCAAGATTTCCTGTACTTCTGCTCTGGGGCTGGGCAGCAAGGCTTCTTTCCTCTCCTTGGTAGTCACATCGACATGCTGCCAAAACTCTTGTCTTGAGGTGAACTCAGATTCCCTGGGTGCTGGGCATCCTCTGGGCGTCCCTGGGCAGCAGCAGAATGTGTATTCCTCTGAAACAGACTCGTCTATACCCCTGTGAAGTCCCTACTCTCATCTCTCCACAGCTTTCATATCTGGTCCTGTGGGCAGGGAGTGATTCAGCTTCTGTAACTTTGGGGATCAATCACAGAGAAGGAAATTACGGGAGGGATCCATGCCATCTAACTTTTCCCAGTGTCCTTTCCCTAATTTATAACATGCCGGGTGGCTTGGCAGCTATTCATCCATGGGAAGAAATATCAGGTAAATGAATCCTGACACAGATTCATTCATTCTTCAAATATTCCTCAAGCTAGGCATTGTGCTGATCACTGGCGATGCAGCAATTCTGCCCATTATCAGAATGTTTACAATGCAATAAGGAGACAAAAGCAAATAGCTATATGGTAGAGATGAGATGGGTTGTATAAAAAGAGAGTTTCCAAAGTACAAAAGATGGGGACAGGGGAAGGTTGAGGGAAGGTTACCAGAGTAGGGTCACTATAACAACCAAGTCTTGAAGGGTGCTGGCCTTGAAGATCAGGTAAGTAGGACATTCCCAGCACAGGAAATGTCACCTGTGAAGTCACAGAAGCTTGAAATGTGACCTAGACAAGAAAATGGAAGGAACTCCACATAGTCCAGACTAGGGCTAGGGATCTTGAAGGGAACCACAAAGATGCTGCAGAGGAAAGCAGGTCTGCACAAGTTTGTGAAAGCCCTGGTTTACGCTGCCTGGTTACCAAGAGCCCCAGAAGAATTGAGAGGTTGAAAAAGTGGCAGCCATGTACCATATGATCAGATGTGTGGCTTCTGAAGCTTTCAGACAGAGCTGGAGGTGAGGAGACCAGTAAGGACAGGATTTTAATGTTTTGCTGGGGATTTACAAGGATATACAGGAAGCCAGCAGTGGTAGAGGAAGTGGAGTTGACAGGTTTTGATTCTTTTCACGTAGAATTGGCAAGATTCATTGACTGTGTGTGGAAAAGAGAGGGACCTGTAAAGACCCTTTGGTTTCTGGCTTGGGTAATACACTTTTTGGTGGTGTTCATGTCAAGAGGACAGAGAAATGCAGAAACTAGCTAGGAGGGAAAGATGGCTTCAATTTTGGATGGGTTGAGTTTTAATACTTGGGAATGTGCATGGAGAGACATTTGTAGGCACTTGAGTAAACTGATTCTAAGACAGGTAAAGAGGACTGAGAACAGAACTAGGTGGGAACAGCATATGGGTGCCTACTGATGTCTTGACACTTGGTGACGTTGCTCAGGGACCCCATGTAGATGTGTGAGACTTAGGCAATTGGATCTATGTATAAATTCATGTGGTATTTTTTAACATTTATAAGGTTATTACAAGTATATTGACAAATAGGAAAAAAGACTTTTGTTACGCATCTTGGTTTGAATTTCACTTCAGAATATGTGGGCTGAGGTAGCAGATGACATCTCAAGGTCCTGTGGGATGATTCTCTGAGGCCTGGGTGAACACAGGGAGGCATTTTAAGTGGAGTTCTGTTACAATTACAACCGTAGGACAGCAGAGAAACCAGACTTTGAGCTGAGATAGCAGTTTTCCCCTCCCCTCCTATTTAAGCTTTCATTGAATTTGGAAATCATATCTTTTTTTTTTTACCTGGGTCAAGGACTTGAGAAGAGAGGCTAAGAGAGCTCAGTACAAAATAGCATCTTCAGATGTTTGCATTAATCCTCTTAAAGCACTCACCCAAAGAAAGTAGGAGGGAAGAAAAAACAAAAAGAAGTTCTTTTTAACAGATGGCTATCTTGTCTCTGTCTCTCTCTCTCTCTCTCTCTCTCTCTCTCTCTCTCTCTCTCTCTCTCTCTCTCATCTATCTATCTTTGGTTTGTTCCTTTTTACTTTAAACTTAGCTTCTGAAATTATTCTGAAACTACACCAGCCCCCTTTGGTAAGTAGGTGACTGGCATTAGCTACTTTCATTGTCCTAGCTATTAAATCCTCCCTCCTCCCGCAGAACCAAGGCTCTTTGGGAAAATAATCAAATATTCTCAGGATTTTGATTTCTTTCAGTTTTTCACAACCTGATAAATGCACTCTAGGTGGGAGTGTCCTTTAAGAGTGCACTAGGCAAGCAGAACTGCTTAATTAATAATGTCATAGGGCATAAACTCTCATTTTCAGGGAAAAATCAGATAAGAGTATAGGAAAATTTCTCCCATGCCAGTACTCAGAGATCTAAAATTTAAACAAAATTGAAGTTAGCTTTAAAATTACATTCAATTACAAAAACTTTTTAAAAATAATAAAACCCAATGCACTAAAGTATTTGATGAAATTTTTTTCACTTTTACAATCCAGTGGCAATGTATGTTGACATAATGGGTTTGTAAGTCTCAAAACAGCCATTTCAAGAGTCATTTCATTCCTACCTATTGACTCAGCCATCCTATTGCTCTGAAATTTATTTTAAGGAAATAGACTAATAGAAAAAATTTTGAAATGCTTGAAAATTTCATTGCAGTGTTATCTATAAGAAGCAATTGGAAAACATCCAAAGGTCTCAAATGAATCCAAATTTGATTGGATTTCTTCTATTCCAAGTTGTGGAATGTGTCTCCATATAATGTTAAAATTAATAAAATTTATAATCACTAGGATTGTGGGGAAACAGGGAAACTGATAGAGGCTCGGAAAGGAAAAGAAATGTAATGCATTGTAATGAATTAACAATGAAACAAAATGCTCTTCAATTAGGATGGGATTATGTCCTGATAAATTGAAATTAGGGAAATAAGAAATGCATTGAGCTCGTCTAACCTGTGGAACATTACAGCTCACCAAACAACACAGCACACTGTGGGGTACCTGTTGTCTTTCCTTCTTATGAGGGGGTGCTTGGGACCTGCAGCTCACCACCACTGCTGCCCAGCACCACAGAGGAAAACAGATAACCTACAGATTAATCAAGAACTTTCCTAGGAGCCCATACCCTGCTGTGTTTACGTGAGCTGCCACAAACTAGGTGGCTTATATGTGAGGAGGTTTATTATGGGAACTGGCTTCTAGGAGAAGTCCTACAACTCACTCTCTGTGAGCCAGAGACCCACAGGAACTGGTGGTGTGATTTAGTCTGAGTAGCTGCTGGTGCAAACCTTGGTCTGAGGTCAAAATGTCCAGAACCAGAAGCACAGATGTCACTGGGGCAAGAAAGGATGGCGGAAACATGGAGGAAATGTGTCTTCCATTGCCTTTTTGGTCTATTAAGGCCCTCAACAGATTGGATGAGCCCCTTCTCATAGGCAAGGACTGCTTCCTTTACTCAGTCTAACAACTGGTGCTCATCTCTTCTGGAAACTCCCTCCCAGGCACTCATAAATGATGCTTTACCAGCTGTCCGCACATCCTCAGCCCAGTCAAGTTGACACATAAAACTACTCATCATCTGGTCTTATATGTCAGTAAATCACAGATATTATATGAGTACATAGCAAATGTTAGAAGAAATTTAATGAAATTGAATCCATGCGTTTGACTCATAGATTATAGTCAAGGCTAGATGATGAACTCTGAGGTCACAGATTATAGTCACAGGTCAGATGATGAGGATAATGGACTCTTGTGTTTACCTTTTTTTTTTTTTTTTTAAGAAAATTACTGCTAGAGCATGAACTTGGCAGGAGTGATATTCATGTTTTGCTCTTAGTTTATTGTAGTTCTTAAGAGCTTTGGGGCAAGATAACTTTTGGATTCTTCCCTCTCCTCCTACTATCTTCTTAGTCTTCCTTCCCTTCCTTTTTCCTTCCTTTTTCACAAGTATTGTAATTTTTAAAATGTGATAAAAATAATGATCTCATATGTTTTCCACCTCCAGGGTATGCATGGAAAAGTCTTCTGCCCATAGACACAGGAATGTATATCTCCCACACTCTGTAGCCTGTGAGGTCATAGCATTATAAAAGAACATGGACTTTTCATATTTTGAAGTTCTGTTTCTGAAATAAATCATTCATATATCCTTACAAACCTTAATCACTGAATATTACTTATTATAAAATGGACTTAATAATGAAAATGACAACGTTATTTGGGTGAGCTAAAAGGTTATTTTGGAGACCATCGTGAAAGATCTTAGTGCTTTACTTATGCATACAGTAGACAATTAAGATACTTTCTTTCACATATTTCTTAGATGAAATGTCGCAGGTTGTGGAGCACCAGGACTTTCTAAAGCAGCTCATATCCTTCCTATGTTATTTTTTTTAGAGCTGCTATAATGAAGAATCACAGACTGGGTTGCTTACAATAGAGAAATTTATTTATTCACCATCCTGGAGGCTACAAATCTGAAATCAAGGTGTTATCGGTGTTGATTTCTCC